CAGATTAATTTGCATAGTCAAACAAACATTTAAAGATAGATTGCCAAAATATATTTTTAGAATCTTTGACTAAATGCTAACTCAATTAATTATAATTTATAATTTAATTTATTTTTTGTGTTATATTAAGTTAAAATTTAGTTCAAATACAGTAGCTATCTATTGTCGTGGCCTTTTAGGATATATTAATTTTACAGTGTCATCAAGTGTGAGAATATATTGTCACTATATAAAAGTTAAACAAAAAAACAAAAAATTACTACAACGTTAAATGTAGTACACTAAATATTCGGAAAGTAAAATAAAAATGCACAAGTACACATATATATGTTTGATTTATCTCGATACCTAAGTTTGAAAGTGAAATCACTTTTGGAGGTTTTAATTTTCCCTTCTTTTTCACAAATTTGCTATAGAAATTCATCAATGTGTATATGCTCATGCGTGTAAGTATACATATATATGTTTGATTAATCTAATACAAAGTATATCAATAGTTACAAAGGGCATTGAATTCTAATTATTTCTCCTTGTGAAATTTTCTTGTAGGTACTGATAATGTGATTGGAAATACCCATCCCTATGAAATTCTGAAGAATGAAACAACAAATATTGTGACTCTGAGTTTTATCTGCGATGAAATAGTTGAGATTTTTAATGTCTCAAGGGATAAGGTTAATTTTTATAAATCAAATGTTATTAGTCCTAAAACCTTTTCTTTTCAATATTGAATTGGTTACATGTAATTATAAATTTTTGAATTTGATGTGTACGTAGGCTGAGGAAATTCTAAAGTTTGCTGATATGTCAAAAGTTGTGAATGACTGTTCATCAAAAAAACCATTGGGTTTGGAAACACAAAGTCAAGGTAAAGGTAAGGAGAAACTCTCAACAGCGAGGAGAAACTCTCAACTTAGATTCTTGGAGAAGCGAAAAGAGAGGTTGGTATTTTTATTTTTTTTTTCAAATTAAATGCATATCAATAGCAAAAGGGCAATTTTAAATAAAGAATTAAATAATTTGAAGATTAAAAGAGCAATTTTTGAAGATATAATATGTATATCTTTATCAAATAGCACAAAAGAAGTTGAATTGTTTAATTAAATTACATTTATGAGTAGGAATTAACTTTGTAATTAACTGTCATAGTAAACCTTTGGAATCAAATTTCTGCACATCTAAACAACCCCCTCTCAAAAAGAATATCTTAGGAGTAAAAATAAAATTTATCGCTAAAAGAATATACATATATATTTAAAAATTATAAAAGGATAGAGATTTTCTTGAGCAAATATAAAGTTTGTAGTGACTCGATTAGTATTTCAGACAATGAAAAAAAAATATTGATTGATTTTTGTGTTGATTTATTAATTAGGATTTGTGATGTCTTGGAAAATGGCATGAAAATCGTGCTTATGACTATTGCGTGCAATGGAAAGGTTGCAAATTTCAATGTCTCCAGTGAAAAGGTTTTTATCAATCAAATGTCATTAATCTCTGATTTATTTTCTTTCACTATTAGTTGGTTTTAAGTAATTGTATGTCTAATTCATTCGTTGTGTATGTAGGCGAAGGATATCCTAATATTTGCAGAATTGTTAAAAGTTACGGATGTCATTCCACCAACAAAAAGCCAATCAAATGTGGAAACATTCAGTGGAGGTAGATTTTGGGAGAAGCAATATCCGAGGTAAATTTTTTTCACTCACAATTTTTTTCAAGTTAATTAAATGTACATTCAAACACAATTTTAGAAAATCAGGAAGCCAATATATTAATCATTATTTTTCAAATTAATCTTAACTTCAATAAATGATCAATTAATTTGACGAGAAGATATAAAAGATAAGTTTAGGAGATATACATATCGTTTTAATAACGAAAGTTCTGCAACTTCTTCAACATAGATCTGCAAATATCAATTAGAACGAAAGTTATCATCATCGATCTAATAATATACTTCTTTGAGTACTCTCCCTGTAATTCTGAGAAAAGAGATATCTTCCCTTTTATAATTATTTTTTTAGTAATAGCTTTATTATATATATATATATATATATATATATATATATATATATATATATATA